AGTTTCGATCATATTAACAGTGCACCTGAAAAAACAAACTCTTTGTATTTAGTTTAATAGAGCATTTAAGTTCGCGCATAGTGCCAACGTTCCTCCAGATATATTAGCACATTGCCTTGCGTCGTCTACAAGCTAAAAAGTCGGGGGTCTGGATGAGTGGTTTAAAGTTACAAGCAACTACAGGTTCAGAAATAAATAAAAATTGTCTGTGTTGGTTACAGTCTAATTGGTGGTCGAAGAGTGCTCCTCAGAATAGGGTAAGTAAATGACCCCAAAGACAAGGCAGAGATAAATTTGCTATGTCAGGGAAAAATAATAACCACAGACGGAACTTCATTTGCATAGACGATACCTAGGGAAGATCAGAGTTCTGCTGCCCACGTTCGCTCGTCACGCATGATCCCGTGCGTAACTTGACGCCTAGTGCAACAAGTTTTTGCCAAAAACGCACAGGTAATTCTCGCAGTGCCGGAATGTAGACGGTGATTATGATAGGCAGGAGAAACAGTTGAATATCGGTAAGAAGACGGTCTGCCCTATGTAATGGTGAGTCTAGCCTTATGGTACACAACCCCGCAGCGCAGATGAATTTGTAGCCTGTGTCGTAGATGCTGAAGACTAAGAAATTTACCGAAAGTGGTACCGTGCAGAGGGAAGTCGTCAGCCAACCCTGCGGTCGGCTAAACGTCTGTAGCTGCTTCTTTGTACTGCCGGGTAGATATACAATGTTCCAGGTGTCCGAAAGCTGCTCAGGTGGTGTGTTGCGCACCCAGTGGATGATGTCATAGCAGGAAATGCTTAAGATAATGACACTGATGACCGCAGTCAAGCCAAAACGAACGAAAGTTTCAGTGTAGAGAGACACTAGCGCCCCGTAGGACACGTCCGTATCAAGACAGTTACATTTTTTGCCATCCCATTGCACTATAAGTGTTTGGGGGATCATAGAGATGATGCTAAGTAAGCAAAAACCACAGGGATAAGCGAGATTCGCAGCAACAGACGTGGAGAAAGAGTACTGATATCTGCAGGCAATTTGAATGGCTCTATTTCCAACCATGAAATTCAAGCAAAGGACCGCAAGTGTGTAGGCGACCAGAGAGAGATAACGGCTTGCCCATATGTGACACAAAAACGCACCCCAAATTGGAGATGGGCGATAGAGTCGTCTAGGTATGACACGGTCGCAGGTTCTGATGAAGCTGTAGAGAACTACAGAAGCAAGCATGGCGCGCAGCTGGTACAGAAACATTTTGGGTTTGCCTCTAAGAAGAAGCAGAAGTACAAGAACGCCCACATTTAGCACCAGATTGAAGAAACTCATGATGGTGCTGACGAGAAATAGGCCATCCATCTCTTGCCCAGTTTTGGAACACTTCCAGAAAGCC